TCCACTAGACCCAGTTTTTTGGAGAATATAGAAAACTGAGAAATAGGAGCAGCAAAAACTCCCTACATGGACACTCGTGATGTGGCTCATTTTCTCTGTCTTGCCAAGTTTACCTTCTCTCTCAGCACTTTCTAAACTGCCATCTGTTTCTTTTCTTTATCCTTTACTGTTTTGTCTCTAGAATGTGATTTCACCATCTTGTTATTTTCCCTGCTAGTGCAGGAAGAGGGTCTCCAAGTGCAGTTCAAACGAGGAGCTTCCCTTCCAGAGGTCACAGCCCTCAGCACTGATCACTCCTCCCTTCTTACAAGGAAGGGGCTGAACTCTCCCAGTGCATATTCGCTTGAAATCACATCCTGGAGCCCTTTTGTTCTCTTTATACAACATGAAACACAGTGAAACCTGCATGTCAGAAACTAGATAGTATTTATAATTTTGTTAGAATAATAACCAAGTGTGTTCCACCAGAAAAATACCTCAAAACTGTACCTTTTCAATTTGGTCATTTCAGCAATCCAGGAGGACATTCAGGAATAGTTCTATAGACAATGCATTCTACAATGACCAATTTGACTGACATAAATAATACTTTTAATTTGTATATGCTAATTGGATTAACAAGGGAATGATAATACTCTTTCTTGTGCAGTTGGGGACAGAAGTGAAGGAGCCCAACTGTATTTTGCATAACAGCATTTCTTAGAACACGTAGTAGAAAATGGAAAGTTGTGTCAGATAATGTAGTTTAAAAATACAATGGAAAAACTCATTGAGAAATTATTCCATATTAAAGAAAAATGAAAGTAAAGAAAAGGATTTTAAAAGCTTCATTTAAAGACAACTCTACCTTTAAAAGGCATGGTATCAACCTGTACAGGAGCAGATGTGTAAGTATTTAAGAGATCTTAGCTCTTCCAATAAAGCAATTCCAATAAAACAGAAAAGGATAAGGATATCCTCTGTAACTAGTCCTGTTGGTTTGTATGTCTTAACTTGTCTTTATAGACACTTAACTATCTTGAAGCAGTGAGATTTTCCTTCCTTGAAATATGATGAGTCTAATACATTATTTTATAACATTAAGGTCATCAATATCAAATATGTTTGAAATATATTCCTGAAATATGACCAGGAATTTAGTTTTTGCTGTAGTGAGAGACTGAATTACTGTGGAGAGTATATGTGCTGTGTTTATGAATGAAACAGATGTTTAGGCCATTTTATTTCTAGCAGATTTTTAAAATATGTGATATTAGCAAACATTTTCCAGTGATATTCTATCAGCATGGAATGTAACTTTTTTTCCATATGTACACTCTGTATGTGAAATCATGAGGCTTAACTTTCCTTTCACACATTCTAATGTGCACTTTCTATCCTCTCACATGCCATATTACTAATACCTCTTTTATTTTTTTTCCTCTCTGGCATTAATTTTTTCTCATTTGACATCCAATTTGCCAAATGAATTATGACAGTAATCCTTTCTTCTGTGCTGTTACTTCACTTTATTCCACACTATATGCAGGTTTTCTGAGGTCATTCTTCTCCCTCACTGCCCCTTGTTTTGGTAATGAAAGATGGGATTTTTTTATACTGATTAAAATAATTCTGAATGGTTTTACATTCATTTTAGCTCATATAATCTGAATTGCAAAAATTAAATGTATCTTGTAATCACTTTTGCAGAATGTAAGGACTTTTTATTTGTTGATGATATAGAAAAGCTCTGTATGAACTTACATTTGGAAGGAACAAAACCACTAACAAGATCTGTCACCGGAACAGGGGTTAAAAGACTAAGAAGCAGTACTTATAAGACCTCATAGAAAGAAGGGTTTAAAATTACCTTCTCAAAGGGAGAAAAGATTGTGGAAAGATATTATAGTTGTTTCTTTCAAAAAGCAAACATTTAGAAAATGTCCGCTTTAATAGGAAAGATAATTAGGATGGCAAATTGGACATCTGTAAATGTGAAGAAGGCAGAAAACATCATGCATTTTGAGGATTAAATCCTTTTTTTCTGTAGAGACAATATTTCTCTTGAAGTACATATATCTTAATTTATCCACAGAATAGTCAGGCAGGAGGAGATGTGCTTAGTGCTTGCCTGTTAGTGCAGTTAATGCAGGAATGTCTTACTCAGTGTATGCACACCCAGCAGAACGGAGGGGAGAGCCCTGTGCTGTCAAAGGTTCCTCTTATCAAGGGTTGCAAGCCCGCCCCTCCACCCTGGCCAGCTTCTAACCAGAGTCCCATGACTGTGTTAATGCCAAATCAGAGCTGTGAGAGCTGCTTGCTAGTCATTTATCAAGTTGCATAAGTGGTGGATTTTTTCCATGCTTAAAGAAGCTTACTTTGTGCTGGATCTCAGTGTTGCCCTGGCTGTTCTGACTCCTCTTCTCAGCCTCTGCTTTTTGCATTTCCCTGTGATTATATAGGAAAACGATGTACTGGGTGTAATACTTCTGGTAGAGAAGTCAAAAGATCAGGACAGCTATCTTGGTGCACTGCCTTTCACTATGGCAAACTCACAGTCAGTCTGCCCTGCATCCTTGCCTGAGAAAGCCTCATGTCCTGTCCCAACCCCGTTCCTTTGCTTTTCTCTCCAAAGCTCTGGGTAACAGAGGTGGTGTGGGATTTCACACACGGGATGTCTCAGGCAGCCTGAGTTTACCTGCAAGGTGTCTGCCTATGCTCTGAAGCAGCCTGTGCCATTTGTGCTGCTTTGAACCTGAAGGACTGTCAGCAACCTTCTGTCTGCAGTGTCGCAGTCCTGGCTCTCCAGGCTGGTGGCCAGCTGTGTGTGTGAAGCTCTGGCAGTCCCTCCCCAGGCTGCATCCTTCTGCTGCCAGGGCAGCATTCCCACCCTGGAACACGAGGAGAAGGTGCACCCTTACCACTCCTCTTCACCCCCTCTTCGCCCTGATTTGATGGGACTCGCTTTTGGTGACAGAATTTAATGGCATTTGGATCACTATAACCTTCATTTAATGGGCTGCAAAGATATGCAAACTTTTTATTCAGGGCTGCAACAGATACCCTTGTTTAAAAAATTAACCCTGAACAATCTGAAGCATACAGGGACACATTTCTGTGACATTTGAGCTAGGAATAAGAGAGTCACTGAACTGAGAAGAGATTGTTCTTTTTTTATGGGTCTTTGTGTATGATGAAGTGACATATGGCTCGGTTCATACAGGACCTAAAACTCTCTTAAAGTAGTATCTCAGAACATTTTACTTTCTTCCCATAAATTCTCAGCAATAAATGTTCTGTTTCAGATGGGCAAGAAAGTACATAAAAGATGTTATGCCATCAGAAAAATCCAATCACAGGCAATTACAAGCTCCATTGACACTGGAGGAAGCAAGATATGTGGATGATAACTTCTAGTGCATCTCAAAAGGAAGTACTCTGGAAATATTTCTGTGTTTATTAAAACACCTGCAAGTGTGTTCAGTTTGCAGAAATGGAACTTATGTTCAGATCAGCCCTGCTTGGGGAAACCATCTGCAAAGAGACTAAAAATAATTATTTACTGATAGGGCAGGAGAAATAAAAAAGCCCCTTTAATTTTTCAAATTTCAGACTGTTTTTTTCAAAGTGAGCAGAAAGAGATAGGAATGTTTTATGTAGGCTCTTGAATACTCTTAATAATATCCAAAATTACTATTTAGAGCAGAAGCACATATTAAGTCATGTAGGATCAAGTCAGGGTCAGCTCTTAAAATCCATATTTGCAATTAACTTTCGGTAATGCCTCAGTTCTTACTATTCTGTTAAATTCCATCAGTTTAATCAGAGGTTGGATGGCATGTTAAGCAACAAACTGACAAATTCTGCCAGCAAAATGATACAGCACATACAGTTCTTCCTGTCAGCAATGTGCAGTCAAGTCTTTTCACCAGCTTCCTGCCTGGGCCACAGGAATTGTTTTGGGTAAAGATAGATTCACCTGTTGGTATGAAGCAAAAAACTTGGCTGCTTTTGTTTCTGTTGATGCTGAATTTCAGTTTTTAATATTGTAATTATATTTAGTAGGCTTTCAGAACATTTTTCAACATCAGCTGATCTAAGAAAACAAGACTACTCAGAAGCTGAGCTGAAAGTAATGCATTTTGGGCTGGAAATTAGCAGCAGAACTTCACTAAATATGACATATATAAAATGAGGCCCCCATGTGTATTGCACATATCACTACAGCCAGGTGTAGGTTATCTTTACATCAGTCATTATAAAGACCTCTGAGCAAGTGAAATATTTAGGACATTTATTTTCATTTGTTGATTACCTGAGATAGTCAGGTAGATTAAGAAAAAAATAACTGCTTTGCAAGGAGACAGTGGGATCTAATCTTGTGCAGCTAGAGGAAAAGAGTCCCTAGGTCTGGTTTTGCTCCCTGTTGGTTCTATGTGTGGCCTTATCTGCTGGTTTCTGAAGGTCTGTAGAGAAAAGTTCATCCATGGAGAATTCTTTGGGAACCACCCGATGAAAAGGGTCAGTACAATGTCAAACATCACATTATTTTGCTTTCAACATTTACAGCTGCTTTTCCCAAATTCCTGTAAGCTCTCTGTCTCACCACCTCTCACCTTTCTTTTTAAAGTGATGGGAGTGTGGGAGGCTTCCAAGCAAACACTGATTTTTTCCCAGCGGAGTTGGGCTGAGCTGAGGGGCATTTCAGCACTGCTGGCTGCTGCAGGAGGAGGAAACCTATTACAGACAAAGCACAGCTGCAGTGAGAGAGAGGCAGTGGGCAGAGAGGGGCAGAAGTTGCTCTAATAGATATCTATTCTTGCTAATCCTCTTCCACTTCCACTCTGCAGCACTAAACTTTCCTCCAACTGAAACATTTTTTCCTCGGTTATTATTGGAGAGCAGCAGGAGGGGGAGTTTGTTCACATTTCTGTTGGAGCGAGCAAACATCTCCTTTTAATCCTGAATATTATTTGAAACTCCAGTATTATATGATACTATTTTTGCTGCTGAACAAAGTAATGGATGCATTGAGAGCATTTGAAAACGGGTCGCTCTTGCCCAGTTACTCTGCTCCTGCCAGGTGGGATCCCTTCCGTGGTCCCTTGGGCTCCATCCAGCCCTGGCAATTCAGGGTTCTGGCAGCAGTAATGTTGTTGGTGACCTCCCTGTCACTTGCTGAGAACCTGGCTGTAATCGTGGTAACTTTTAACTTCAAGCAATTGAGACAACCTGTCAATTATATTATAGTCAATTTGTCTGTGGCTGATTTCCTGGTCTCACTGACTGGTGGTACCATCAGCTTTTTAACAAATCTAAAAGGTTATTTTTTTATGGGATACTGGGCTTGTGTATTGGAAGGATTTGCTGTCACATTTTTTGGTAAGCTTGATTTTGTTTGTAGTTGTATGTTCTTTTCCTTCAACTTCCTTCAATGTATTCTACTGCAGCTTCCTAAATCACTGACTTTGCATGCCTTTCAATTCACTGGTAATTTCCCCTGTTACATATATTCTGTAGTGGAAAGTGAAAAATTTATCTCTCTATCCCTGTCATATACGTGGCCTGTTGCATGTGTACTGATCATTGAATATGTTTCACAGAATGAGGAAAAGCCTTCCAATAGAATAGCAGCATTGTGGGGCTTATGGTAAAACAATTTCAGGAAAAAAGTTCTTATGCATAGCTATGTTCAATATTTGTATTTGTGTGTGTATATATAGATAAATAAGAGAGAGAGAAAGAGAGTGAGTTGCTGGTAACAGTCAGTCCACACACCAACACCTTTTTGTGATTTTTTTTTCATGGCTTTGTTCACTTACTAGAAAAAAAAATATTAGAAGTACTCTAAGAGGAAAACTCCTCACTACACAGTAGCCTGTGTAAATACATCTCTGCAGAGTAAATGGGATATTAGTTTAGAATGGGGCATTTACTCACTTGAGACAGACACTCATTCCTGTGTCCTGTCCCTGTCTCTGAAGCTGCATGAAGACAGCCAGTAATGCTTGTCCCTGCTCTAAATCACACAGTGCTGATCCTCAGCCTGAAAAGGAGTCCCAGAGCTGCTCTCTGCCTGTTTAAGACAGACAGAGGGAATGTCACTGAGGGACGATGCTTCTACATCAGTTTGTGGCATGCCCAGTTTGTGGTATGGAGAAAGATCAGGCTGTTTCAAGATTTTGGTGTCCCACCAGGTAGTATGTGCCTAAACTTGACAATTTGATGTTGTGGCCAGCTGTCTGCACATTTGAGTTTTCTGATAGCGTGAAATAATTTTTGCAAAGATAATGTTTTGGAGATTTTAGTTTATTACTTTGGATGCTACACATAATTTGCAGCTTTTCAGTGTAGAACTAAAAGTGGAAGTCCTAATCACTTAACTGGCCTGATTAGCTGCTTGGTTTTGTAGCCATTTTACTGTAGACAGGCAAACTGGACAAACATTAAATTCTTATGCTCTTCATTAGTGTTAAATAATATATATAAATTGCCCATCCTTTCATAACTTGTGTTGATAGAAAAGGTGTCTGATGTTGTGGGTAGTCAAAGAGTGTAACTGGCTGCCCAGAGTGGTTGTGGAGTCTTCATCTCCAAAGATACTCAAAACCCAGCTGGACTTGGTCCTGAGCAACCTGCTGGATGGACAGTGCTTGAGGGGGAGTGGTGGCCTCCAGAGATGCTTTTCAAAATAAACAGTTCAGGGATTCTGTAATTTGGGATGGTGCTTGCTGTTCAGTGGTCTACCCAGATTTGATGCTGTGTTCTCTTGCTCCAGGCATTGTAGCTCTCTGGTCCCTTGCTCTGCTGGCTTTTGAGCGGTACGTTGTGATCTGCCGCCTGCCGAGAAATGCACGCTTGAGGGGGAAGCATGCAGCTCTAGGTATCGTCTTTGTGTGGAGTTTTTCCTTCATTTGGACCTTTCCACCAACATCTGGTTGGAGCAGTTACACCCCCAGTAAGATTGGAACTACTTGTGAGCCGAACTGGTAAGCCACTCTCACAGAGGATGGTAAAAAACTGAAACTTGCGGTTCAGGATGCCTCAGGGCCAGGAATTTAAAGGAAAGGGTTAAAGATGATGTAAATCTCTGGAAAAAAAATCAGCTGTAAAGAAAGCTGTTATAAAACTGATCAAAATTTTCCACGATCAGTTTCTAAACCAAAAATTTCTAAAGGGTGGAGCTTCCATCTCTAATGAAAATAATCACCCTAGACCTTGTGCTTTTTGTCAAGAGTTAAAGGGCAAAGAGATAAATTTTTTCAGAAGACTGGACAATGCTCTGAGCCAGCTAGTCTGACCCCATAGCTGGCTCTGCTTGGAGCAGGAGGTTGGACTACCTGTCCCTTCCCATGTAATCAGCCCCACAGTCCTTTTGTACTGTGCCTACAGTTGTAGGATCCCCTGCTAGTCCCTGGGCAGGAGATGGCCCAGGGCTCCATCTGGGGATATGACTAGAGCTGCAAAGGGCCACGCTGAATAAAAATATTTGACAAAAATACTAGTGGCATCTTTGAAAAGAAAGATCAATATTCCTAGAAAATAATAAGAACACGTAGTAGTAATACATACAAAGGTATTTTGTATTTTATACAGGTCCTCAGGAGCTTATGCTGACCGTACATACATTATTACATTCTTCACCACCTGTTTTATAGTACCCTTATTGGTGATTTTGGTATCCTATGGAAAACTGGTGTGGAAGTTAAAAAAGGTAAGAAGAAGCACCCATAAGAAAACTTTTAAAATGTGTATGCATGTAAAAGTTTGGAATTACTGTGTTTGATTTTCTGTAAAGATTAGACATAAGCAGGTCAGATTTGCAGGCTCAAACACACTCAGTTACATCCCTTATATATAATTACCCTTACAAACAGAAATTCATGCTATGGTTAGAAGTGGTGTTTTACAGTGTGGAGTTCACATCACTTATCAGTGCATCTCATTAGTCAAACATCATACAAGTGAAAGAATGTCTACCTCATAAATAACAGAATGATCCAGTACTGCTTTATTCACAATTATGCTTCAATTCAGTGATATTTCATGAGACTCAAACCAGGCAAATTAGATGCGGCTTAAAATGACTGTAGTTGTAAATTTTAAGAGTGCTTCCTGCTACTTATTAATATGCTCAAAATAAGATGTAGCCTTTGCAAATAATGTCATGCTGTTTAATAAACAAAGTATTAGATTGTCCAGGAATATTTTAAAGATTTGAGAAATGCTTTTCAATTTTCTTTAATGGTTGTGTTGACCTGATCCAAAGGAGAAGCTGCAAAATGTGATAAAGAAGACAATAGAACAGGAAAATTCCTATTTGGTCCAGGATTTGGGAACAAGATTCTGGGACAATATTGATATTTCTATTTATTACAAAGCTCTGAAAAACCAGTACCTGCGACACTTTCTGTAAATCTATAATGAATTGCCATATGATTGTATCTCACAACTAAGCTCATTTTCAAAAATGGGACTACAATGAACAGAGAGAGATCCAAGCACCAGAACTGGTGTCTTGATGTTCCCAACCACCCCTCTTCATGCACTTTGTCCCACCTTTGTCACAGTGCAGGGTTGTTCCTGAGTGGAATAATCTGCCAGCCCCTCAGTCCCAGTGACCCCAGCTTTACAATGCTAATTGTAGCTTTCACTGCAGCATCAAAGTTGATCAGAGAAATTAATCTTTGGAAAAATAAAAAATTAGCAGTTTACCACAGAGGTAAATTATTATGGCAGTATTCCTTTGTTTGGAAGATAAAGCACCAGTATGTTTTTCTTTACCAGTATTTAGAGAAAGGAAAAGCTGTACGTGAAGAAAAGACCAGGCTGATATGAGACAAAGATGAAACCTTTGAAAGTGCAATAAAGGAGATTGTGCTCCTTTTCCAGGAGACTGCAATCTGCTGAAAGGGAGGCTGGGCCGCTCTCTGTGTAGGAACAGCATGCATTAAAAAATGCTATGGAAATCTCATATATTGGCAGGGACTATCTTATCAGTACCAAACACAGCCTTTGTTAATGCCTAATAACTTGCAGTTATTGTAACAACTCTTTATTGTTGTTGTTGTTGTTATTGTTGTTGATGTTTTTGGTATGTTTATATTTGGTAAAAACTGATGCAAATTGAAACTTTCTACAGAGGTGAGGACATTGCCCTTCCTAGGAGGTGCATCTATACCTCTTTTAGCACAAACATTGAATTCTCCGAGTGTAGTTCAAAAGTATTAGGGAAAATGTCTCCACAGAGTTCTAACATTACTGCAGGAAGTTAAAAGGCCACCTTACACAAACAAATCTTATTTTATTAGAATGTAACATTGCAAGACCTGGCATCAGGTTTTTCTGGAGCCATACAGAGTTATTAATTATTTCTCATGTAAACTAACATTTCATAACAGCACCTTGTTTTGCTAAGTCATCAGAAACCAAACAGGGATGTTTCCCAGAAAGACAGTTTGACATCAGCTAATTTCTGTGTGAACCTCTGCGCTTAAGCTTCCTGCATGATCACTGAGGAAAAGAGAGAGAGCATTCCCACTAAATGCCCCAATCCCACTTTAATTCTGATATCATTAGTTCGTAAATGCTCTTCTGGAGAAGGCCATAAGGCACCACTGAGGCAGACAGACTCCCCTGGTGTGCATTTGCCCCCAGGTGAGGAGGTTGCACAGCCCCAGCAGCATGCCAGACACCCAGCTGTCTGCAAAAGCTACGTGGAATAGAAAGTGCTGGAATTCAGCTCAGTATCTGCTTGTGACTCACCATGATGTTCTTCTTTTTCACTTTGACAATAAAAATATGAAGATACTTAAGCAAAGGAAGATTTACTGATGCTGTGTGTGGTAATTCGTGTCCCTCAGCAGTAGCTGCAGCACCCATCCCTCTGTGCTGCTGCCCTTGGGAAGAGCAGGTCTTCCCTTCCAGCCTGGCCCCTAGACAGCTCACTGAAGTCACTGGTTGGACAGCTTGTTGTTTGTTTTCTAGAATCTTTTCTCTTTTCTTAAAAGGTGTCAGATGCACAAGGCAGGCTGGGAACTACCAGGAGACCTGAAAGACAAGTGACTAGAATGGTTGTTTTTATGATCATTGCCTTTCTAATCTGCTGGATGCCATACGCTACCTTTTCTATCCTAGTCACTGCACATCCCTCCATTGAGCTGGATCCTTGTCTGGCAGCAATTCCGGCCTTCTTTTCCAAAACAGCCACTGTTTATAATCCAATTATTTATGTCTTTATGAACAAACAGGTACTGTATGCTCTCAGAGTGTCTCTAACACTCATATTTTGCTATTTTGTCTTGCTTTATAATGAATTATTTCTACCTACCTATGTGTTAGCTAACAAGCATTACAATATCCAGCATTTAGAATGAAAAAAATATTTGCCTGGTGGAAGATAGTGTAAGCCTCTGAGCATTATTGAAATATAAATGTTAATAATCATTACGTTTAGATATTATAAAGGAAAATCAGCCCTTAGGGAACATGAGTTAGCTTTCTGTCTGAAAATTATCTTCTCAAGACTGTCCCAATATATTTCAATAATTCCTTAAGAACACAACACCATTAAGTTGATCTTGAGGTGGGGTGCACATTTTCAAAGCTTGAATTTGTCCTGGGGAAATGAGGCATTTGTGGTTTGTGTGCAGAGGGGTAGAAGCATTGAACATGACCCTTTAGCAAAGAGCTTTTTTCTCTTTAATGAGGGCAGAGGATTGGATGCAGAAAAAAAGAATTGACATGGGGATGAACCAGCATGCTGTGTGCTCACAGTGATAACAGGCATGATAATAAACATGGCCAGATTTCTGCAATGAATGCAGCAACTGAGTGGTGGCATCAAGCTCATAAATTAAATAAAGAAAAACAGTTAAGTGACTGTTGAATAAAAAATGCTGAATTTATTTATCCAGTCTTGCAGAGAGAGCTATTGCTTGTCTCACATCCTGTGTACAGCAACGTGATCTCCCAAACTATGTAGATGTGTGCTACACTTTACCCTGTTTGTGGCTGAAACAATAAAAACCCATCTTTGAGTAGCCAGGAATTTAATATATGAAAGCATGATTCTGGAGAAATGACCAATCATGTCCATTAGATATGATTACCTAGAAGCAGAAAAGAAAAATTATTTTCTAGATTAAGATTGGCTCTTTTCAGAACACAGTTAATTTTTAGGTTTAGAGTTCTTCGTGGTGGCATAGGTAAATCTATTTTATAGGGTTATTTCTTTATATTCCCAACTGATTCATGAGAGAATTTCCAAGACTTTTAGCTAATATACGGATTGATTTATAGAATCATTTTTACATTTCTTATGCGTTTTTACTGATCTCCTGTTTTTTCACCTTTTTAGTTCAGGCAGTGTCTGATTCAATTGTTCAGTTGCAGTGCCATGGGAACTGCAGAGTCCAACTTGAACCTGACTTCAGAGAGAGCAGTGCCAGCCCAGGAGAGAAGAGGCAGAGAGATGGCCCCCACGGCAGTTCATAGCACCATTTCTAAGAGGAAAACTGGAGATGAACACAGAAGCCAACAACCTTTGGCCCTGTTGACAGCTTCAGAAAACAAGATGTGTCCCATGTAGAGTGGGAGATGGATCATTAATGCAATGCTACAGCGTATTTCATTGTTACAATCACCTAATATAAAGATTTGTTGTCACTGGGAAGGGACATTGTGGTCCTGTGGACAGCAGCTCCTCAGTGCCTGTAAGAGCTGCTTGGCTCTATGGGTGCAGTCAAACACCCAAACAGCCATAAGGTGAGTCCCTTCCTCCACTGCATTTCTCTTCCCAATCCACAACCAACTGGCACTGCACCACTGTGTCTCTCTGCCTCCACTCCTTAAGTGCCTGTTTCTGCTGAAGTCCCATCCTCGCTGCTTTAGTTGGACTGCTGATTCCAGAACAAATTACTAACTTGTTACTACACCTCCACTTTCAGAAGCAAGGACTATAACATAGATACTGCTTCTGTAAACAGTGAAAACTAATGGAAATTGCCAGCTTTCCCTGTCTGTATTCCATCTCATGTTTAATTCGCACAATGAAGTGCAGCAATATGTTTAGCTTTAGTGGAATGTCACTTGCACATGAAAAGCCAAACCAGGTTAGGAGCGTAATCAAGACAGACTTCTGTTTTACAAAGTGTTGGGGATCATTGTATGAAATGTTGCTAAGAACTAAGCTTGTGCTAAGGCACATTGGAATTTTAATCCTGTATAAAATCCATCTTTAATTGAATGCATTTTAGGAGAAAAGGCAAAGGCTGACTGTATTTAAATGCTTTAGGATGGAAAACCATTATTTCTAGAGAAGACATTAGAACAATGCCAGCTGGAAGAAGTGTTGCTCCATAATGGTGTAGAGAAGCTACACTAGCTTCACCCTGTACGGGCCTTAGCTATAGAAATATGATATGGAAGGAATCATCCATGGTTCAGTTTTACTTCCAAAAAATAGAACTATTTTACACAGAATACATAAATTTTGTTTCTATCAGGTTGGTTTTTTTTCTGCTTTCTCTGAAGTTAATGTTTGAAAAACTATGTTGCCTTGAAAAAGAGTGGGACTACCTGAGACACCTGTGCATTGCTGACTTGGAAGCCAAGAGCCATTCCTGCAGCAGCTGGAGATGCTGGAGAGTCAGGAAAAGGTAATACAGACGTCCAGCACTCATAAAGCACATCCTGAACCCCTGGTATGTTGCAGAGGCTGGTTTCAGTGTGACTCCCCTGCTCGTGAGGAGGTGAGCTGGGGTGCAGGGGCAGGCACGGAGCGCGTCCCTGAGCCGCTCCGGCCGGGCGCGCCCGGAGAACTGCTTGGCCCTTGGCCATCTGCTCCTGCCCCTCACTGCACTCACACCATGGGCAGCCATGCTCTTCGTTTTGTACCTCACAAAAGCCCTTTGGACCTATTCTACACCGTGTCCTTTGCAGAGGAGGAGAGGTTAGGAAGCATCAGATCCTTTTCTGATTAGAAGGATGTTCAGATTCTGTTGCCCTGATTTCATTTTGGGATGGTAGGATCCAAAGAGAGGAGTTAGTCTACAAATAAAATCATGAGCTGCATGTGTGAGAACTCACTGCAAAAGACTGTATGCTTTTCTTATTCATCTCACAAAATTTCATGAGGTGACTGCCTTTTAGAATGTAATTTTAGCTTGAACTTTTGCAGGGTTCAATCTTAAACACAAATGTTGATCCCTATTGTGACAGGGACATTCTTTACCATTCTTTAATCCTGTGTTATCTGTGACAGAACAATGAACAAATGTCTATGCCTTTTTAAAATGTTTTGGAAATACTGTAAGATAGGAAGAGTATGGTATTCAGTTATTAATTCTGTTCACCTTTTGGTGCTCATTAGTCTGTTAAAACAGCCAGATATGATTTGAAAGTGAAAATTCTTGCATTTAAGACTCAGATTTTCTCTTTCAAGGATATATTGACCTAGGTTAATCACAAGTTAATGGTATTACATATATTAAATCATGAAGAATTGGCAGAAGTGCTAGTGTTTAATTAAAAGCAACAGAATTATTTTATCTCCTGAGGAGGTGAGGATATGTAAAGTATCACTGTAGTACAAAATAAAGCAACAAAAATTAAGTAATTGCAAAGAAAAAACCAATGTAAAAATGCATGTAAATGATGTAAAAACGTATGGAAAGCAGTAGAAAACAGCAAGCTGTCTCTGTGAGATGTACCCATCTCTGATAGAAACAAGGAATAATAGAATCAATGGGTATTTTCATCTTAAAATGTCTCCAGTAATGCTTTTCGGGAGCCGGAGGATACCTTTTCTCCTTGTCAGAAAGTTCATTTTAAAAATTGTGAACACCTTGATGCATTGTCATGGTGGGCCCACCAGAACAGTATCAGCCTGGGAGCAAAATATTACAGAGCTCCCAGGATCTGCTTGTTAAGTCTTTCAATGTAACACAATAAAAATTCTTTTAGAACTACAAACAAAACTAGGGGTTCAGAGTTGTGCACAGGGATTAAAGGGACACATTTTTGCAGTATGTGGTAAGAGCATGACATGAATATTTTGCCATATACAAAAAGTAATTTAGGCAATGGATAGTTTTAAGACCTTAAAATTTCATGAATAAAAGGTGTTAACACTGCCAAAGTCAGCTTGCTTGCACTTGATTGGGAGCTAATAAACAGCATCTTGTGTCCTTGAATTTTCATTTTGCCACCAAGAGTATGCCTAGAAATCACATTCTTTAAAAAAATTTGTAGCACTGTTTATTGTTTGCAAAACTAGCAACGTAACACTACTCCACTTTCTGCTTTGTGATCATTGCATTTTAATGATGTAATCTGGAGAAAGATACTGCCTTTCCTGCAACTCATCCATGGCATAGGGGGATAATTGCTTTGTGTTTTTTCTTAAAAATGTGAGCAGTACTTCAGCAATCTACTTGTTTGTAATGGAAATAGTCTTCTTTTGTTTGTTTGTTTTTTAATGTAAATGATGGTTGCCATGAGAGTTACTCTTGTGTTATGAGGTTATGTTGGTTCCTTTGGGATAACAGTAAGAAAGGCACTGACACTGAAGCCTAGCTAAATAACTCACTGAGTGAAAACCAGAAATTCTGGAAAAGATAACAGCGATCTTAGGACCCCTCTGGTGATGGACACCTCGTGTTTCAGCATGAAATTAATCTCTCCTTTTGGGTCAGGACATGCTACCCAGACCCTACCCAGGATGAAGTATTCCCACCTGGTTCTTGGAATCTTTATGGTATGTCCTAGTGAACAGTTACCCATTTTGTACAATGCTGGACTTTCTAGGTGGCACACCGCGGTTCTCCCTCACTAGGAGTGAGCCCATTCAGGTGCATTTTAAAGGCAGGTGTATCCTCACACCAGAGCATGTGCACAGGGTATGGAGTGGTCACTCAAGCTAAAGAACAGGTCTGTAGGGCTGAGGCCTCTGTTTAAACTCTGCTCAGGCCCTGTTTGAAATCACTGTCTCCTTGTTTCCTTGTCTTCTGCTGTGGCCCACCTGAGCTGCTGCATTTATAGTTGTGTCAGGTCTTTCTCATGGAAAAACTAACACACAAATCTGTTCTGAAAGTTGTACATGTTCTTAAAGTTGTACATTCTTGAGAAAAAACCCTGAACAAACAAGTGGATTTGAGCATGGGGAAAAATATCCAAAATAGCTTTCAAAAATAATTTCAGTAAGGCATAAAATACTGAGGTTTGAAAGTGCATTGTGCAAGTTATTTTTCATAGCCTCAAATTTAGAGAAAGGATACATTTTAAAAGGTCATAAGATCAGCTCACCTCATCACCCACTTGCAGGTATGATGGTGAAAGTTCAGACACTGAATGTCTTTACAAACTTTAAAAAATGTTCATGTTCTTGCTTTGACAACAAACAGCACAGCTTCTCTGGGGATTCCTTACTGCTTTTTGAAGATACAAATGTCTTAACATACAGATTTTGCTTCTCCTAAAACCACATGTACTGCAGAGCACTTCTGGAGGAGTTCTTGTTCAAAGTGCAATGGCATGGAGAGGGGCAGAGATTGTTATTGAAGATAAGCTCTACCAGAAGTTCACCATAAACCAGATTATTCCATCATAGCTCTGATGCGGATTAGCTTCTAAATAATCTATTTGTATCTCATTATAAACATATAAATTAATGTAACATTATAAACCAATTATAATTGCTTCTTTTGCAAATATTTTTTGCCTTGTTTTTGGTAAAAGATGCACTTAACCACATATCTGAGTTTCTTTCACTTTTGAATGGTAAGACCTTGCCCTTACCCACACTGAATCTTTATTGCCAAGGGCTCTGAAAGCAAAAATGCAACTATCAATCAAACCAAATTTGAGAAACACATTTCTCTCTGTTTCTGATTTTGGATGAAATATTAATTCCTGCTTTTTTTTTTTGTTTGTTTGTTTGTTTGTTTGTTTGTTTCCTGCTTTCTCTTCCATTCATTCCTTCACTGTGTTCAGAGCACCACCTCCAAAATAAAACATTTCTAATATTCTCCCTCTGGTTGCTCTTACCTGCAGCCCTGACATCCCACTCAGAGGAGACTCCTTCCTCCAACAAATGCACTTGGAAAGGAGAGAAGGGTTTGACAGTGAGATGAGGTCTAAGCCTAAGCAGGTTCAGCATGCACATATGTTTAGAGTGAACATGATGTTCCTCCAGCACTATTCCAGCCTGTGTGTTCCCACAGACATACACAGGGCAGACCTATTTGACATATTTGTTCACAGTCTAGCTAGAGGAATAATATACATATTATATGGCTAGAACATTTCTGTTTAATTATGACCTCAGTGAAAATGATTATCCAAGAAAACAGAGTCATGAGCATTAACAATAATTCTCATCTCAATTATTGGGAAATATAATTTTAAATGATTGGTGAAGAGAAGATTCCTAGAAAATTTATGATAATGTTCTTTATTATAATACTTAATATTATAGATTGTACTATTTTTTCTCTTTATTACTTTATATTGAAGTCTCTTTCCTATGTCACAAATAGTTAAAAATCTGTAAGAGAATTTAAGGGCCTTTCAGCAATTTGGCACACCAGT